ATTGACTAAACATTGAACGGGTTTTGCGGAGCATGTTGCTCACATTTCATCTTTGAGCGCGCGGCAGCCTTCGCTTTTGTGCATTCTTCTATATTCGGTAGACACTTGTACGCACTTTTCTTGCGGCAGCGTTGAAACCTGAGTTCGCTTCTTGTCAACATCCTTGTCGTTTTTCATAGCCACCACTGCATTGACGTCGTAATAACGGATGTTATAGTAAAGGGCACGGTCGCCTCGGATTCAGTCTATCCCAAGTAGAGGTGTTACAACAACGACATTTGCGGTGCCTTCCAAGCTGATGCCATAGCGCATGCTCGCATGTGCATTGTTCATGATACATAATGCTGATCCGATAAGCAGCAACCAGGTTTTGTTTCATTTTTTCCAGCTTAGGTCGACCCAACTTGATCCCTGTGTCACAATCTTTGACTGCACTGTCCAATGGCAGCTTTATATCCAAGTCGGTTAGATTTCACACTGCGGTCGACCTCGTCTCCTTAGATGGTGGACTGGCGACATGATGGACGTCCTTAGCGTCATTGACAAACATTTTACGCAGACAGTACTTCTCCAGATGTTCCCGTTTCTTGCAGCAGTTGCACTCATTCACCCTTCTCGCATCTTCTAGTTCTGCTGTTTCTCGCTGCGCAGTTCATATAAAGAAGAGATGTTTTGAGCTTGCGATCAATGAAGCGACTAAAAAACGGTTTCTGCTTCTCTTCTCGCCGTTCGAATTGCGGGTCTTCACTCATCTGATTGACGCTGACCTGAGACATGCATTTGCGATCATCTGTACGTGATTCTGCAATTTCAACTAGTCCCTGCACTCATCTTTGAATTTTTTCTGGGTTAGACTTCCACAGTTCCATGATTTGCTTCATTAGAAAGTAGATTGGATACGTGTCCGGGCTTGGATTCGGGGTCTGGTCGTCAGTTGTTGGATCCATAGCAGATAGTAGAAGACAGTTGATGAAGTCATTTATTGGTAATGGCAGAATACAATGATTGAATCGTAATTAGTAAGAGATGTCCACATGTTCATCTTGACCATGTTACCATTGCCATGGCGTGTGTAGGAAGATGATTGAAGTTAGAGTTCTTTGCTTGACGACAAGAAACAAAGAATGAAACTTATTTACTACGAGATGCCATATATAGATAGCATATAATGCCATATATAGATAGCATATAATATGATGTGTTCTCTGCCATATATAGCAGAGAACACATCATAATTATCACCGACAAAAACAAGAAATCAACATTTCCGTTTATTCTTTTTCTACACCGGCTTGCTGTGCAGCGCAACAGTTCGCTTTAATCCCATTTCACCAAGGATCGCCACAGGTGCTAACAGAAACATACGGAAGCGAAGTACTCCTTGACTGCGCAGAAAAAAACAAGTGCTTTTCGACGGAATTTCGCAATCCTTCCCTTTATTGAACTCGCTGTTGCGCCCTCCTAAGGCCTAAGGCATACTTCAAACGATAGTCGCTGCGCGATTTAGCACTGCAGCGGCAGCCCATAATTGGTCTTAAGCGCGTTTTGATGGTACCAGACTTAGTGCTTTTGCGATCACTCATAGAAGCTAGGCTTCTATGCATCTGCGACCCACGCAGGTGCAATCTGAGAAGAACTGGCAAATCGCCAAGTCGCATGGATGTAGCTGTTTGACGAAATCGCGAGAAGTATGCCTTGGGCCTAACAGTGAAACTCAGCTCTGGCGGCTTTTATCCGCCAAGTGCTCAACCAGCCCTCCCCTCTCTTCTCTTCGAGAAAATCTTGAGGGTGTAATCTAACAACAGCCATCAACAAATAAAAGAAAATAGCAAAATCTTGTGAATACTTGTGGGACAGCAGCTGTACAAAAACTTGCTTTTGAAACTTTCCATATGCATCACCCTGCACGTGTAGCTTCCTTCTCGCAATTCCTCAAATTTTTGTTGGTTCTTTTTTGAAATGGACTAATTGGTAATAAAAGGTCCAAATCGTTACAGGCCATTCTCTGCAATTGCCCCAGTTTTTCTCTTGTGAGTCACAAAATGGTCGCTGCCATCCCTTGTTTTCATTGGCTTTTATCATGCATCGAAAAGCAAGCGCATTAGTTTTTTCTCATTCTTGTTCCCTTCCCTAAGCCTTTTCTACACTCTCATTTGCTTGTGCAAAAAAATCGCTTCTCAATGAAGGACATGTGCGAGATGAAAAGCATCTTGCTTTGGCAGCAGAGTTTTGATTACAGACAGTTCATTTCTTTGAAATTTCTTTCAAGATTCAAAAAGTGCAATTGTTTCAGTTTACGACCCTTAGGCTAAAAAAAATACAGCATCATGCGACATATCGTATAATATTTAGAAATATCTATAACTTCAAGAAAAGTTTATTGCTTTACTATTTCATAACATGTACGTCTATGAGCAAGAAGTTACTGGCACTTTGGCAAGGTTTCAAACGCTGCAAACACATCAGACAAGCTTTTTAGGTGGCAGTAAAGGAATACTCCACAAACTCCATTTCTGCTTAACTTTGCAATCTGAGCGAGAAACTGTGTACTCCACTCAAGTTGGTCACGCTCAAATTTTTTTCTGAAGTTTTACGGTCTAAAACGCGTTTGTTAGGGAGGTCTAAGAAAGTCTAAACACATTAAGAAAGTGATTACGTTGCATTAGGCTTAAGATACCATCGCTACACCACCCATAAATTTGCTAGCACTTTCTGGTAAATGATATCGTACTCGTCTAGGGCAAGCAATTTCGCATGCATTTAGTAATTTGAGGAAGTTCTGCTCATTTGTTAAAATTGGCTGACCAAGGGGTGGAGGTTTGAAAATTGTCTGCGTAAGTTATCTCTATATATATAAAACTCAAAAATTGTTTGTTTGGAGTGTATGTGTGTTATAGAAAGGCGCGCCGCTCAACCGATTGGGCTGAAAGTTTCCACACAGATGTTTTCGACCCCGGAGACGGTTTCAAAGGTAGCGTCCAGGCAGATCCGAGCTCGACGACCACGCCCACTTCCCTCGGACGGCCACCCCTTATGAACGAAATCTCCTCAGCCTTGACGTGTTTTCACATGACAACAAAGTCGAGCTTACAGCGTTTATCTGTTAATACTTGCTTTCGACAAGAATAACATCAAAAGCACTCGTCCGGGTTTTGCCAAAATAGGCCCAAAAGGTGGTTTTCTGAGAAATTCACGCTTTTTGAGTTCCATATTCGGAATCAGCGCCATGGAAAGGCCTGGATAACATAAAAATATAGAAGTCGAGAATCTGCCGGGACGCTGCCTTTAAGGCTACTTTTTGCTGGATTTTGCTGGGTCCTTTTATCGATATCGATCTGTTAACTCAAATCTATGGAAATAAAAGCTCATCATGTTTTGACCAACATTTTCCGATATTCGTTTAAACACGGGTGGAGAAGCTCATTTTCATTCAGCTGTGAGGAGGGTGCGGTGTTGCAAAGCGATGCAGCCAGGATGAAAGACATGTCGACGCAGGAGCCAGAGAAACGGGAGGCGCAGGCTTAGAGCGGGCGCATGAAAGAAGAAAGGAAGAACTTGCCAAAGGGTGAAGAAGAGTAGAAAATTGAAAATTTAGGAAGGGTAAGTTGGACGCTTTGGGAACGATTTTGTACCATTCGCGGCATCACGTGTTCAGACCCACCCACAGACCGAACGGGCCGGGTACGTCAGCTAGTAGAATTACACATACGATGTCTTCAATTTGTGTATGCACTTCATATATAATGAGCTACATGAAATAAATTAGTCACGCGAAGACTTCTTAGTATATACCTGTCGCCATGCATCTTTTCTATCGTCGATTTGTTGACCGCACGGGCTGCTAAAACGCTGCGGACGACGCGCGGCGCGCTGAATTGTCGCGAGAGCACGACTTGTACAATGGCGAATTTGTATCGGGTCAAGCGTTTAACCACGCGGCGCGTGCCCCGCAGTGTTGTCCAGTCTGTGCGGTCAATGAATCAACTATAGTTTTGAGGAAGTACAAGATGCGAATTGTTTCAAGAAAACATCTCAAAATCTCCCCTACATCCTACTAAGCTTTTTTGGACCATTACTGCCTGTCATTATGATAGATGTTCAATCATAATCTGTCACCAATTTTGTAATTATTGCGTCTGGGATGGTAGTAGAATTTTCATGGAAACTTGTGTTGGGGTGCTTGTGAGAAACAGTGTATCAATTTTGGTTTTTGAGAAAATAAATGTTTCAGTTTGTCAATACTGTTTTACCGGTCACAGCTGCAAAGAACAGCTAACAGAGCAAATATGTTTTTGTAGGTGAAAAATGACTCTCTACCCTAAATTGTCACCAAAGCTGATATGGAGTTAATATGCGAGATTTTATTTCGAAAACTTGCTGGACCACCAACAAAGCTTTGTAACAATATGATTTGAGATCATTCAAAATTATATGGTTGTTACTAGGTGGGCGACGAGTTTATAGTATTTGACTGCAGTCTTGTCCTCTCTTTTCTTTGTTCCTGATCAGATTTCAGTATTTGATTGATGATCAACCCACATTTTCCTTTCTCTCCTAATTCTTACATCGTCAATTTCAGTTCCACACTACTGTTTCCACAATTTCTTTTTCATTGTTCAAAACTAGTAACCGAATTTCACCACAGTTTTTCAAATTTTCTCAGAGACCGAATCGGAAGCCATGGGTGAGTGAAACCGTCAGATTTGAAATTAATCAAAATTCACCGCAAACACGAAATTTATTGCTTCCACAATTACCGAAAACCAGAAAATAAAAGTTGCGTTGAAGACGTAGCAGAGTACATTTTACGAAAAAATTGTAAATTATTACGAAGAGAAGCATTGTTTTTAGTTCTCATTTCTCATTTTTTCAACACAATGCTCAGAATGATGAAATGTAAAACTAATTGACAATTCAAAAGTTTCAGTAAGATTTATTACTTTGAGGTGAAGGGTACAAGGTATCGTACAAAATTACAACTTCTAACTAATCTTCCACAATCAGCTACCCTCGATATTATCCTGGAGCTCTACCACGTCGTCGTAAAATTCGATCATCCTCGCAGATTTCAAAGTTCTCGGAGGGCAAGGACAGTACGCTGCATCTTGCCCCGTTGGACCTGGCGGTCCTACTGGTCCAGCCGGTCCATCTGGCCCAGGCACTCCAGGTTTTCCGGGAGGTCCCTGCGGCCCAGGTGGACCAGGTTTTGGCTCTCCTTCTCCTGTACCACTTGGACCTGGTGGGCCAGGTGGACCTTCTGGTCCAGGCGGTCCTGGAGGTCCAGGTCGTCCTATAACGGAAACTGCATTCTCACCACCGGGTCCACTCATTCCTGGAAGTCCCTGTTTGCCTGGTGGGCCAATATCTCCCATAGGACCTTCCGGTCCCGGTGGTCCTTCTCGTGATCGGAAACTTACTCCTTTTCTCCCAGGGCGGCCTCGAGGACCTTGTGGTCCTTGAGGTCCCCTTTCCCCACGCGGTCCGGCTGGACATCTGATGCAGCCTGCCGCACCTCCTCCGAATGAGATTTCTATGCCGTCGACTCCCTTACGACCTGGCTTACCAGGAAGTCCCTCGAGGCCTGGTTCGCCAGGTGGTCCAGGTTCTCCTGGAGGCCCAGGAAGGCACAAGTTTTCCTCTTCTCCACAGTAGCACATCGGGGCAAGACTTTCGCGTCCTCTTCGAGTTCTTCCTGTGATGTATAAAATCGTTCGTTTCCAGCGTTGGGATTTGGAAGGGGCTAAATTGATTTTGTACCAGATATCATTTGCTAGGTCCTGAAATAAAGATTTTGAAGAGGTTGCACAGCAATTAGGGGCTATAAAATGAACCTGGAACTCCCGGAATTCGTCTATAGCATTGCCGTAAAATCTGTTGACCTCAATAGCCAAATAAACAAGGGTGACTATAGCAACAACTGTGGCAAGGGCACAGAATCCAATGACCACCCTTACGACAGAGGAGAGCTGCATTGTTGCGGATCCAGTCAGTTACGCGCCACTCCTTTAGTGATACCGTTGCGTTTATAAGTAGAAGAATTATGTCCCGTAGTTCGTAGAAGTAAAGAGAGTTCGACTATCAAGTGTGTCCATCTTTATATACGCTCTTTGAGGGTCACTTTACACCGCTTTAATTAACTCTTTATAAAAAAATATGGGTGTCATGCAAGCTTCTACCCCGCTGTTTTAGCGTCGAACTTGTTTTTCTGCAAGTTTTCGAGGAATCCACATTCACTGATGTTTCCCTCTAAATGGAATGTCACTCTTGAAAGAGTTCTGCTTCAAAATTTTGTCATGAAATTATCTTGAAGAGAATGTGCAATGCCAGACCATTTTATCTACACGTCCAAATTTCACAAATGAAATATTTCACACTTCGAAAATCGTGTGGAACCGTTTACTCATAAAAAGCTTTGAAATCTCAAACAATGACCGGGAAATACCGCAATGTACAGGAAGTGAGACAGGAAGCCAGTAAATTTAGAACTAGAGTAAAATATCAAAAATTCAAAGGAGGAGCTTGACAGAAATCGTTTTGAATAATAATTAGGTTGGTGCAAAATTAATGTCGGTTTTGAAAAGTTTCACCTTGAAAAGTTATAACTTTGTTCAGTCCTCGTATTTTTGACCCAAGATGTCCACCTTTTTGAGCCTGTTTGTGGTAGGCTTGAAAGTCCCAAATTATGAAAATTTGGAATTCTTTATGCACTAGCTGAGTTTCTCTGCAAAAATTGTAGGCAAGATGTCCGAATCCTTAAGCTTACAGAAATGGGCGAAGCTTCGGTGATTGCCTCAATCATCTAAAATTTTTGACCAGTAGAGTGCCATCAGCAAGTATTTATCCCAGAGCGTCAATTTCTCAGTCCAGATATTTCCGAAGAATCTAAAATATGCAATGGTTAAACAGTTCATCCCCTACACATGCTATGCTTTCAAAAGAATTTGTTTATTTACGCCTGACTCGTGGCCAAGGAAGTTAGAGGAACAAATTTTCGATTTTTAGTGCGACTGTGCGAGATGCTGGTGAAATTCTCACAGATGAGATAGAAGCTTAAATTCGCCACTGTTGGAAAGTACATGAAGAAAGCTTTCCAATGATATGCAGAATCTGTACCAATGCAGAAATTTTGAAGGAAAAATGTTGTTGTTCGGTAAGTGGGCTTAGGAAAACGGACATCATTTTTGCACCAACCTAATGTTATTTGCGCCTTCATTAGAGATGTGTTCTACAAAGCTTTCAACTTTTTCTAAACCAATGAACTTTGGTGTTACCCACAAATGAATCTGTTATCTCCATAGTTTTAGGTTTCATATATCAGTTTGCTGGATAGATTTTGCGCCATAGGAATGTAGAAAATTCGGTTAGGAAACGTTTGGATTTTTTCTGACATACATAAGTTGTCTAACACATACTTGACATTGTATTTTATTATATTATTAATATATTTGAATTTATCGAGAGTTTCAAAAAATTTCCTACAGTTAAAGAGAGTAGGTTACAAAATTAAATGCAAAACTAAAATTGATTCTTAGTAGACGTTTTATCTGTTTTAGACACCTTAGCTCAAAAACAATCTCTGTGTGTTTCTAAAACAGCTTAAAATGATATGGCAACAAAAACTTTGCCTTAAACCAATTGATGATCAAAAAGAACACCTTTTTTCTACCTAATCTATACCACAACAAAAAAAATTTTCGAAGAAATTTGAGGTTATCATTTATTTCCGAATTTTTGGTGCAAAACTTAGCTATCAACTTCATGTATCATTTTCTCAAAACTTTCGCGACAATTTCCGCGCGAAAATTGGGCAAGTGGGGTGAGGGGGAGGCAAACCGGCGCAAAGTGATGGGTATTTCTCTCATTCTTTATTCCCGAATTGTATCACGCTGTCAGATGACAAGTGTTGTCGAAGTTATGGCTCATTACGAAGTGGAGAAAACGGCATTATTTATTGGTACGCTTTACTGCCAGATAATAAAAGCATGCGTGTGGCACAAATTAGGGCATCGGGATAGCATGTCCGCGGTTACAAACGCAGCAGACAATGTGAACTTATTCAACCACAACGGTTATGACATACTTAAAGTTGATCTGTATGCAGCATGCGCAGACATAGCCGTTAATTGTTCCAGTTTTGTTGTAAGGAGTCAATTATAGTCAGGGGTCGTAACAGAGTTTATGTTGCACTTTGCAAAGAACATTCCTTTGTCTTTGTCAGATTTTACGCACTTTCTCAATAGTGTTGAGTATTGCGCATAAAAAAACTTCTCTAGCGAGTAGATGCCAAGATAAACTTCATTATTCTGCGAATGAATGTTGCCATAACGAAAATTTGACCTTTCGATTGCTTACTTTAGCACATTGAAGTCATAAATTTGTTCACCAATTTGTAGCAACTTTTACAAAGGGCTAGCTGGCATACCCGGCTTCGCTCGCACCGTTGGTCTAACTGGCTCAACAAGCAGCTTTATTGGTGCGCAACTAGGCTCAATTTATCTGCGTTTCGGCCTTTTTTGTGTGATGAATGGACTCCTTCTAAATGTATTGCCTTGAATTACCCCATCTTCCCAAACGCAAAAAGGAAATTAGACCGTTATTGTTTACACAAAAGTGGTTTGATATATTATTTTCGTTCCAAAATCTATAGATTCATCGAAAGAGTGAGAATTTCGCCGCAAAAAGTAGACTACTGAGGGGAACATTGATGTACAGATGCTTGTATAGGGCGCTGGTCTGAACACCAAACATGTTTACCAACACTCACTTCATCTATCTATAGACAAATGCCCCGGTATTCATAGACACTGTCAAGTCACCACTTAACTAATGCAACTTTGAAATAAAAAGAAATATGGTTGAGGGCACGTCAGCTTTATTGGTGTTTTCTTAGTTACTTTTTGTTGCTTTCCCTATTTCTAAGCCATTCTATGAAGTGACAAGTGCGTCACATCCAAAGCTCGGCATAGCTGGCCCTGGGTCGAGCAAGCAAAGGGGATAAATTTGCGTTTGGGCGGAGTCCCTGAAAAACTGCTAAGAAATACATCAGACTTGAACCCTACATTAAATGATGTCTGTTAAAACATTCTGAGCAAGTCAAGACATGGTCGTTACTTAGCTTAATTTTCGGGGTGTAAGGCGCACGTTGAAAGCGCATCCTCCGCAAAACGAAACGCTTTCTGAATGATTGCTCTCTAAATCTTGCAAGCTGAAAAATCAGTGTGCTGTGATTGTTCCTCGCTGCCCAAAAATCATGCCTTCAGGTACTTTTCTTACTCTTTTCAAAGGAGTAAGAAATCGTTGATATCGTTTCTACAGGTGGGAGAAAGATGTTGTCAATGGTGCTTATGATGTTTGGATGATTCACTCTTTTGTTCTCAATTGATGTTACCGGTGCTACATATGTGCTTTCCTTAGTTTGTAACTAGCTGGCTTACCCGGCTCCGCCGTATCCGGACCAAACTTGGCACACATACACTTCGGGCCCCGGCGCGTGTCACAGTCCACTTTTCGTTATCGATCGATGTCGATTTTACCGATTTTTATCGATTTTTTCGCATAGTTCACCTACAGGGCTAGGAGTTGGCACAGGGGGGAAGTGAGCATGGGAATTCCGAATACAATATTAGTTTTCAGAATTATCGGTTACTTTTATTGATTTCATCGATTTTTTGTAAATTTTGACATGCGAGGCTGGGATTTTGCACAGGGGGTAATCGAGCATGCTGATTACGAACACAATATTAGTTTTCAGGATCGTCCATTACTTTTATCGATTTTATCGATTTTTTTGTAAAGTTTGACCTGCGGGGCTGGGAGTTTGCACAGGGGGGTAATCGAGCATGCAGATTACGAATACAATATTAGTTTTTGGAATTATCCATTACTTCTATCGATTTTATCGATTTTGCAAAATTTGAGCTAGGGGGATGGAATTTGGCACAGGGGTGTAATCGAGCATGCTGATCACCCCCTTGGGGATGATCAGCATGCTCGATTACCCCCCTGTGCCAACTCCCAGCCCCCTAGCTCAAACTTTGCAAAAAAATCGATAAAATCGATAAAAGTAATCGATAATCCTGAAAACCAATATTGTATTCGGAATCCCCATGCTCGATTACCCCCTGTGCCAACTCCCAGCCCCGTAGCTCAAACTTTGCAAAAAAATCGATAAAATCGAAAAAAGTAATCGATAATCCTGAAAACCAATATTGTATTCGGAAACCCCATGCTCGATTACCCCCCTGTGCCAACTCCCAGCCCCGTAGGTGAACTCAGCAAAAAAATCGATAAAAATCGATAAAATCGATATCGATCGATGACGAAAAGTAGCCTATGACACCCGCCGGGGCCCGTAGCGTATGTGTGCCAAGTTTGGTCCGGATCGGTTCAGAAATGGAATTTTCTATTCGGAACATACGTACACACATACAGACAGACATACAGACATACATACAAACAGACATTCAGCTTTATATATAAGATAATGATACTCGTACTGAAACTGTGCTTTCCTTCACAGTGATACTACTGATGATATTTTGAAGGTGCTGTTTTTGTTTTATTCTTGTCATTTTTGAAGAATAAAGAAAAAGGAAGAGATTTCTTCTAAAGGAAATTACTATTTAGATGAGAACAACAAAGAAGCCCTGATTGAGCTTTTTGCTGGAGAAAAACTGACTTTATATCGCATGAACTGATTGAGCGTATACCGAGATAGTAATCACGCTTTAGAGGCCAACATTCCAGCAGGATCCTTTTGTCAGAGCCTAGGAATTGGCCACTTCAACTTCGTGACACTTCCTTGGTAGATATAGGTGCGGTTCCCCGCTGTCTGATTGTTTTAAATGCAGCTTACGAATCTTTACATATAAGATTGTTTTTTGTTCCTCTTTACGAAAACTTTACTTCAACGCTTGAAAATCTTCCTTCATAATTCGATTGCACTGAGAGTGAATAAAATGTTTTCCACATTTTGAACGATATAATCAGCATTGGCACCGCTTTGATACCCTTATTTTTCCCATTTTTATTAGGTCAGACATTGAGTTTGTGAGCTGGTCAAATGTGGTTATTATCATGTCAACCTTTAGTTCAGAGGACACAGGACATCACACACAATATTAGAAATCTAACTTTTTCCTTCACGTCTAAGAGTAAATTAACTAACATGTGATAGAGTACGAGTATTTATGACCAGTTACACCTGTGCAGGCGTTCTCAACTTTTATGGTAAATGGATAATAAATACCTACGCTTGGACAAAAGAAAGCTTACCTCTGCTTAAGTCTCTTCATGACGGTGTCCTGTTGAGACAAGCGAGAACGAAAACAAAGCTTGAAGCGAAGAAGGTAAGCATGTGATGAAATGCGATCATAAGTCTAAGGCCAGCTTCCGCGCCTGAGTTCTATTTCCGCCGCATGCAGAGAGTGTGCGCAGCCTGTATGGAACAGAGTGGATCCTGTGATCGCTGTGCATCACTGTAGGATTACGGCAGAGGTTTTCAGGCTACAGCGGATGGATTAGCAGTGTTTCAAAAACTTCTTTTTTTTGCAAGAAATCTGGAAAGATGTGCCATAGGGTTTTTGATCCCCCTCTCCATTACTCAACTTCTCACAATCACAAGCTTGTAAAATTTCTAAGATGATATGTTCACAACTGTGTGAGGCATTTTAAAGAAAGCTGCTGCGGTTTACTAGGCAGTCTAAGAAAGAAGCACTGCAGCAAAGATCAAGGATCATATTCAATGCAGCGGCCCTAATTAGCCTAGTGCAAGAGTTTTTAGAGTTTCACCTTCTTCTTTACACAGCAGGAATTTCATTTGAAATCGTTTCTTTTAGAGAAAAGTAGTCGTTTTTTCTAACCTTTGCAAATGGAAAATAGTGAGTAAAGTAACATACCAAATCTGCGCTATTACGTGATTTGTGAGGGAGGCGACAATCTTATACAGGGTGTCCGTAAAGTATGTATGCACTGTTTGATCGTTAATATCTCCGTTCCCAGGGGGTCTTTTGCCGAGCTTTAAGCACCATACTGTAGAGCTGGCTTAAACTTAGACTTACAGTATGGAGCGAATCGCCGGTCTCCTCTTATTACTGTAGGATTACGGTAGAAAGTTAAAAGAGGGTTTTGAGAGGTCATGAAAAGTCATATTTTGCCCCAGAAAGGAAACAAAACAGCCTGAAAACTTTTACACTAGGCTAATTAGAAGTAATTAAAAAGTGCGGTTACACCGTTTAGAAAGCTTCGCAATCTTGTGAATAGTTGAGTATTGAACTCAGCGTCCATAAAAACCCTATTACACAAGTTTTCACATTTTTTTGAAAAATTTCGAAACGACAGCTTTCTCCACATTGACACCATATGTTTCAAGTTTCTACCGTAATCCTACAGTAACAGTGAGCGATCGCTGATTCGCTCTATACTGTAAATCTAAGCTGAAGCCAGCTCTACAGTATGGTGCTTAAAGCTCGGCAAAAGACCCCTGGGAACGGAGATATTAACGATCAAACAGTGCATACATACTTTACGGACACCCTGTATATAAAGTTGAAAGTCTGTTTGTCTGTCTGTCTGTATGTCTGTCTGTACGTCTGTATATACGTATGTTCCGAATAGAAAATTCCATTTCTGAACCGATCCGGAGCAAACTTGGCACACATACACTTCGGGGGCGGGCGGGTGTCATAGGCTACTTTTCGTCATCGATCGATATCGATTTTATTATCGATTTTTTTGCAGAGTTCACCTGCGGGGCTGGGACTTGACACAGGGGGTAATCGAGCATGCTGATTACTAAAACTACGGAAATAGTGAGTTGGCATGTAGCCGTGGGTACAGAGAAAGTTGTACTGGGATAGGGATGAGAGCTTTATCATGGTGTTTTTACAGGGCCGGGCGGAGCCGGTTAAGCCAGCTAGTAATAAATAAATTTGATAGTTTAAGCCTCTTGCTTAACATTAACGTAATTTGAGCCTATTTGGTCTTCTAGAGTTTGAGACGTTGAAAGCGAAAAATGAAACAAATGAGATCTTGACCTGCTCTTGACTTAGAGGTTATCTGAACCTTACGCTTGACTCTGATTCTCACACACGAAGATTTGCAGCGCAGTATGGGCCAACTGAGACCGGCCAAAGCAAAGCTGGCAATTAGCAGGTTTTACGTACAAGATTTTGTCCAAACTTTCTCTTTTTGAGGACCAGAATCTCAAACAGTTTTCTCACTTTTGAGGTCTCCAATTACGAGTGAAAATTGCGCCATGCAAAATGCTACCCCAGTGTGTGTTATGATAATCATTGCCTTGAAGCAATCCACTGTCAAAGTGATTACAATTGTGAGCACAAGCACCCCTATTGAGTTCGTACTGAGTCATGCTTTTAGGGCGTGGCCGACATGCGCGGGGTGCGAGGAGAAACTCCAACGTCCGGGGACCGACCGGCGGCGCCTCTCCAGTGATATCCCTGGGCTGCTGTTTGCCCCGTCATCATCGTCAACTTTGCAACCTACCAAGACCCAGTAGATTACTATTGTTTATATTCCTATACTGCCTTCTGTCGTTAGATCAATGAACTATTCTACTCTCAACGTGTAGCTTAGCAGTGAAGGGCACTTCATTTTACTCAATTATCATGAAACTGACTTGTTATTGCTTGAAGGTTAATGATCTCGCATCTAAAAAAAGCATTGTGAAGTAATGTCAAAGCTTCTTGCAACATTAGGCACATTTTGTACCAGTACCTAGGTTCAAGGATGATTTGATAAAACGACTCGAAATTAACCCATTTATTCAAGCACAAAGCCATTACCTCGATTAAAATAAGGAAGAAGAAGTAAGTGGCAACACAATCTGCGCTCATAATCCTTATTAAAGTTTGAATGCAAGTAATTTTGGATACGAAAGTTTTGGGAGAAATTGCGTCTCTGCTCATTTTATAAAACATCAAGCGTTAGCGCTAATCGTCGACGTCCATCCTTGCACCGCCGAAGCTTTCATCTCAACAGCCGTTTTTCCAGTGGGAGAGCGTCCGCTATGAGGTTTAGTGAAGTCTTGGCTCTCGGCAGAGAGATTGTCGGCCTGAAACATCTCTTTAGAAGCGTTACTTTATCAATTCTAGCAGGGACGACCTTTCGTGGAACCCGTTCTTTTCCAGCTGCTCTGCGATATTTATCTTTCATAGCAGAAGGCTTTCTTGATGAAAATCGAGGCACTGTTTCAAACATGGATGAGAAATTTTCTTTAGTTACTAAGCCAAGGTTCGATAAGTGGTCAGGGTGTATAGATTTTCTAGAAGTTCATTCATAGTTCGCATGAAATCTCTCTCTCAAATTTGTTAGACTTACATGTTCTTTTTGTCCTTTGCAAAAAGACGCATCAAAGCATATGAGCGACCCCACACAGTGTGTTCCTAAAGCAAAAAGGCGCATTGTATTTGATCTAAGATAATAGCATAACCCCAAGAGAGCATTCCAACAACCTTTGTTAGATCTTTCGAAATCGCACGACTTTGGTAGGCCCACTCCATAATAATTGCCATCACGAACAACATTTCGCTCCTATCTAATATCGATCCATTGCATTTTGCTGAATAATAATCATAATTTTCAAAGGCATATCCTATGAAATGGAAGCTGCGGATTACCACACACAAAGAATATATGGGTTGCATAAAGAAACGAAGGAAAATACTTGTACCGGTGTGGATTCGAAAGGCATCCATTAGTTTGATAGGTTGCTTGAGAACGTAGATATATGTGTAAAACATGTATATCAACGAGAAAACCTCTTTTCTGCGATTACTCATACAGATCTGATAGAGTACTTTTTGTTTTACGAACTTCAACAAAGTAGAAGACGCACTGATTTTGCGGGTTCACAAAGTCTAGCTAACTGTAGAAGTTCCTCAAAAGCATCGGGCATAATTCTCTTGTCCCTGGAAGGTAACTTTAGGTTGAATTGCTTCTATTAATAATTTTACCAGCGGTAGTAGTACACCGGAACAATTTTTTCGGTATTGCTGTCAATGTTTTTGTTGTTTTTGTCTTTTTCTTCCTTTGATACGCCACTTGCTGTATATGTAATCGAATACTTGTAAGCAGTAGTTCGCGGTCCAACAGTTTTTGATTCCACTAACGCAATCGAGTATGAGTTTCCAGAATCTGAATTTATTTTGAGAATATCATCATACTATCGATAGTGCCATAGCAAATTATAGTCGTCTGACCCTTGACGACAAGGGCTGCCGCATGACGAAGGCGCAAAAGCAGTATTAGTCCAGCGGGCGCGAACGCGGCGCGCGCGCATCTTCACCGTTGTAGAACCTGCGCCTTATGCGCTCTACGGCTAATAAAGCCGCGTTCGCGCCCAAAGAAATTGCGCCTTCGTCATGCAGCAGACTATATGTAAATTTGGCAAATATTTCGAGGTCCCAGTTTTTCAGTTTACAGCTACAAGTACGAATAGTGTTATAGAACAGAATTTTTGTGATAAAAAACTCCTAGTATTGGGGAAGTTGGAAGGCACAAGTCGCTTAATGTTGTGCGGGGTGCACACATATGTTCAAGTCACAAGTGACTCAGCGGTCAACTAGGCATTCATACAAGAGGTAAATTTGTCGAATAGAGAGAAAATGCGATTCATCTTTACCATAATGGAAGTGGTCATCAGTCTATCCGTTATAATACTTACATGTATACGTTTGCTCTTTTAGCACATCTTTCGGTAACAAAGGAATGATGCATGCAGGACCAGTCTCGTCACCAATCATTAAGCATATATTCTTTGAAGCAAGTGACTTGATTCTTTCGAATACTATGTTACTATCAAACTCGGACAGCCGGCCATTCTGAAATCGATTGGTTAACGTTTGACTATTTGAACATAGATCTATAAATTTGCAAATGGGGAATGACTGCGAAGATTAATCAATGTTAACCATCTTATTAGACTTACAGCGGCAATTAAGAGCATGTTCGAATTTAGAAATGTTTTGTTATTGGCAAGTAGCTTTTCCAGCTTTATATCTGCAAGAAACGTCATTACATATTGAGCTCTGAAATCATTTATGTTTGTTTCCTCAGTGCAGTAAAGTCACGAGCAACAAACTGCTTGAACTAGTACACACATTTTTCTGGACGCAATGAAGAATCGTCTTACCGGCTGCATCTTGCGGCTCAAATTTCCACAAAAGGTCGCGATCGTAATAGTGCCACACCAAGGGATTGTGCTCGACAATCTCCTGTAATGTTCCATAAGATCTTTGAAATTTCCCGAACGTATTCTACCTTGACCAGATTTCGTAGAACTACTTTTGATTTCTGTGTTAAATGATATGGAGGCTGAGGCAACAGCAGCATGTTTTTCCTTTGAGTTCTAACGTAAACAGCTAATGCAACGATTGCTACAATGATGAGGAACAGTGCAGGAATTAGGAGAAGCAGAAACCATCGTTTGTCAAATTTCTCTGCAGACATTGTTGAAGAAAGAAGTTCAAGTTTCTGTTAACAGTATACCCACCATTAAGATCCAAAACGACGTATTTTTTACCGCCTGCCGCGCCGTAGAAAAGCTTGGCATCTTCTTCTGTCACGGTCAACTCAGGATTATTCACAATTACAATCTTATTTTTGTGTATCGAAGACGCTCTCTTAAGTTTTGGCATGTTAATGGTTTCTAATTCTTCGTTTTCCATAACCTCTATTGCGCCTGGAATAACGATCATTTTTTGAATAAATGCAATATTAGTACCTTACTTTTCTCGCGCATCTGTGGCACGGCCACTTCCTCAAGGTTTGTGAAAAAGTTAAAATGTTTGAGGTTTCTGGTGTTATAAATCCTCAAGGAGCCATTGATCCGTCTTATGTGCTCCAGATTTGTTACATGGTTCGGAATCTCTGTAAATTGCGACAAAACTTTGTTTTCTAACCTTAAACTTACAAGGCCTATAATAACATCCTGTGCTTTATGCTTAATGACTTGTCAGGTTTTGGCATTCGGTATCTACGCTTGTATGCTTGATGATTGCGTTGGATCTTGACATTATGACTTTTGCATTCTGTTGTGTGACAACGGAGGGGCATCGATAGCGGCTAGTAAGCAAACATACTTTCAGCTTTATTTGACCCTGCTACAATAAACCTCCCACAGTGTTCGGCCGCCTCAACATGGCTATGACATTAGGTGTCGAACTGCAATGTACAGTCAAGTGTAGACCCTGGCAAGGTCCCCATCGTAAAGGATTCACGCTTCGGTTTCGGCCGGATGCCTACTTAAGAGCCGGTCAGATCCACCGCCTTGGGTTTTCTGATAGCGTCTCCGCTCCACCTTCAGCAATCGCCTCGAAACAAGCGCAAGGTTAAAGCCGCTCTTATTACTCGCTCAAAACGAAGAAAAGAAGGAAGCTCTGCATAACGGATCCCGCACATAGCGCCGAGTGGTGACAAGGACGTTATTAAGGTTCAGGGCGCCTTTTGGATTGAATAAAATTGACACGTCTGAATCGAATACCCCCACAGGAACTGCCTTATGCACTGCATCTACAGCGCAACATCCTCCAAAACGCTAGTCTCAACGCTCTTCTCAACGCCCCACGCGCATATAAGCTTTGCGGGAAGAAAGAACAGGATAAGAAACGTGCGAAAGATGAGTGATGTGGCTTTCATCATCCTGGTGAGAAAGTTGCATCACGAGATATTAGAGCTTTGTCTGGCTTTGCCCTTCCAACTATAGTCCATCTTCATCAATTTGCATGAGATCCTGTCACCTCGACTCATCTACGACGTTGACCTTCACGTCAGAAGACTAACAGCTTTATCAACTGTCACTCTCTAACATCAGTATCTCACGATTCAGTACCAGATGCCTTCTATGAAGACGTCGAAAAGGTCGTTCCCAAAGAGGAGCCTTTTCACAACTCAGTTGTGGGCGAATTCAGCGCGAATGTCGGCGTGCCACTAAAAGAGAATATAGGATTGGGAAACTTGGATATGGGCCCGAACCAACCGTCTTGCTGAGCTGTTCTACGCCGCACACTTTTCCATGAATTTCATTAAAGGACATGAGGATAGCCCAAAGAAACGGACCACTCGTATATCGACCACATCTCACCAACCGAGAGTGCTCTAAGTTTCAGCAATTCCGTCCTTCGGCAGTAGCTCCAGTCACCGCCTCCGCTGCGCGAAGGTACAGTTCAATCGAAAATTAAAAAAGAAGGTATCACAGTACCGCAAGAAAAAAAATCGGTTCATGACAGTACAGGGGAAGAGTTGTAAAGTCAGATCAAGTTGCAGTGACTTGTCGAGGACGACAAAATACGACTTCTGTAAGGTTGCCACTAAGTCGGAACTCGAATAAAGAAGACCTCTGAGGCAAATGCACCCAAATCGAGCGACTGATAGTCAAAGCCAGTTGCAGAACACTTTTGCAGGAGGACCTCGTGAACAGGCAAACCAATATATTGAAGAGCCGAAGACCACGTTTCAAGAAAGCCGAAGGGATATCTGCGAATATAACGTACACTGCCTGTGCTATTGAGTGAAGGCGGAGCTCCGACTTGTTCCCGATATAAAATGGAATCTATCGCAAAGAACTTCCAATCAATCTCTCCTGCTCAATAACACCCGTTATGATACCTGTTGTTTCCCACTGGAGAAGCACTGCCTATTCTACCTGCTGAAGAGCGCACCTCGATTCAACCCATGGAAATGTCCACTGGTCCAGGTCCGAAACTACTTTCCGTTCAACTTCATAGAACAACGTCTACACGAGATTGCGTCGCATCTAACATCGCTTCGCAAGGAAAAGTTTTCAACCATTGGAGAAATTAACACCGTCCTTTTCTTCGAGAAGGGGGACAACAGGAACCTTAATACTACTGGTCCAATGCCCGCTCAGGGTGCTGCACAAGCTTTTGCGAAGAAGACGCATCTTTTTGTCAGTGTTTGTCGATCAAGGAGTAACGCTGCTTAAGTAAGCGCAATAGCCGACTTCTGCAAAGACTTTACAACAAACAATGCAGCTCACTGACTTCCCAGTTAACCACCTGCCCATCCCAGTTGTAAACACCGACAAGGTGATACTACCTCGCCGGAATTGTTTACCTTGCATTGGGTTCGGTACACGCCATAAGTATCCACTTTCAATTTCATCCACTTTGCCAAGTAAAAAACCAGAGATATTCATTTGTTTTAAGGTGATGGAGTGGATGAGGTCAAGTATGACGTGTATGAGGTTTATCTATGACCCAAATGTTGTTTGGTGATGAATGCTTCTCCGTAAGCATTCCTAATGTTTTTCACGGTATCAGCCTTCTTGACGGAAGTTATGCAAATTATCTTGCAGCGCCTTTCTACGTATTTCAATGCTTTGTCCTTGCACGCTGCTCTGCGTTTCCGAAATTTTGACTACTTAAAGAGAAGTGACGAAAGTTTTCTACTATGCACACTTTTTTCTCTTAATCAAGCTTCGTTTAGAATTCACAACTATAGATGCAGACGCCCGGAAGTGGTGGTTTGAAGAATGCACCTCTCTAAAATTGAATTCAAAAAGTAAGTCTAAACAAGCTTAGACAATGTTGCAGGTATCATACAACTTTCAGCATGCAAAGTGAAAGCAAGCGCGCAAAACTCGCTCATTGGTTCGAGCTTGATATCAATACATGTTACACTAATCACAAGTCACTTTTTCTTGGGTAAGGCTTCATTGTTGAATGATCATTTGAAGGATGGCAAAAAAGTGTGCAATCCACTTCTCTGTCCGAATTTACTTGCAAATTGCCGCTTGCATCTCGTTCCCTTGCTTGCATGAGAGCAGTTCATAAAATGCTCAAAATTATAAGTAACCTGTCCATTTAGAGATAATAATATCACCATTGATAGCGTCGCATCCGGAAAGCATTTGCAGATATTTCTCATCCACATCACCTCCGCTACACATTGTCACTGCAATTGAAATATTATTTCTCAAGTCAATGAGCAAACCGAACAAATCTCACTGCAATTACTATTGGATGTCTGATCAATTTCGAGACTTTCAAAGCGTCTTTTCACTTTTATTGGATCTGCTATACAAAGCTTTCTGTTGCTGTCAATTCCTGCAGTTTTCGTGGTGTATTTCCGATCATATCTTGAAATGTTAAACCACATATAAAGTCTTACTATGCTCGCAACGTCCTTCGACAAGCGTAAATTTCTCAAATCTTTCGAGAAAATCCACATTAGTCAGCATGGTTTTGTAAATCATAATACATCCAGTAAATCGGATTTTCGGCATCTTGGGGTCGTAGTCAAGAATTTTTGAAGTTGTTTTATTTACGAACAGCACCCCGTAAACTGATGCACAGCCTGCCAATTGTTTGAAGGACCAAAACGGTGCAGGCATCGCACACTCTAAATATCTTTAAATCATTTCATACTATTGTGAAGAAAGTAAATTTTAAAGATTTATTAAATATTCGGACCCATCTTCACGAAGTGTTTCATGTTTTGTACTCTATCCTCAGCTGAGCTTATTCGTTTTCATCAGGGAGCCTGGTTGTTTTAGATCAGTGGAAATTACACGTTTTAATGTTCTCTGAGCGTAAATTTCCTGTTCGTTCCCGTTAACATAACATTTGTTTATGGTCCACATCTGGGTCTCTTCACACGAGCCAGCGATAAAATTTTTAGAGCGTTCTAATCGCTTTCCTTAGTAAATAATGATGAGAATATTTGTAATTACAACCTTTGCGGATCATTTTAGGAAAAAATGATATATGCAATTGTTGTCTTTTAAATATCGTCTATCTCCATTTCATTCCCCCTTAATCCGCACGAAGTTAGTCAGTATTGGTTGTTAGATTTAGAAAGG